TCTTAGTCGGTGGCTTGGACTACCCACAGCACAGGACCCCTGCAGGGTCCAAGAACCCCAGATGAAGAAGCACAGTCATGGCCTTAGCATTCTCTTCTGCAAAATGGGATTCTGACCGGTATCTGTGAGATCAGACAACATGTGAAACCATGAAGCAGAGCGCCAGGCGACACAGCAACACTTGGTACAAATGCTGAAGCAGAATCTTCGGGATGAATTATAATGTGCCTTCGAAACCCCACTGATCCATAAAATTGCTATTTGTGGGTATCTGGCTATCCTGTGCCAGGCACCGGACTAGTTCCTTTACCCTGTTTCTAATTCTGCAAAATACTTCGTATCCCCATTTTACTGGAAGAAACAGAGGCTCAACAAGATCAAGTCACAAGTCCAAGGCCAGGCGACTGGTAAGTGGGGGAGTCCAGACAACAACTCAGCTCTGGCTGACTCTATAAAGCTGTGCTTTCCACCCTACCGTAACACCTGTTTACTGGGCAAGGCTCAGAAGAAGGATGTTTCTAAGAAGGACTTGCTTCGTGGGGCTGAATTTGAATTTTGACCTTGCTGTTTCCATGTAAATTCTAGTGAAAGGAGCTACTGGTGGACAGCCACATTCTTCCCACCCGCAAGCAGAAAGGGGAATCAGGGGGTGAAGCAGAAGCCGCGCTGCTGGCTCCCAACACCCATAACCCGGCCCAGAGAGACCCCTGAGCCCACTCACTTTTACTTTCATTTTCTAGCCATCACGACTTTCCCAGAAGTGAATGCTACAGATGTCAGCAAACTCCCGCCCCGAAGAGTACTGACTTGGGACTCATAACTACCATGGTCCCCAGAGGCCGAGGAGATGGGGGTCATGGAGGATAGGAAGGTGGTGTGGGGGTGGGGAAAAAAACAGAAGCAGAGGAGGGCATCAATGACACGGACGCTAAAGGGTCTGCAGTGGGGCCCCTGCCTGCTCACCCTGCGTGCCCATTCCTTGAAGCAGCCTGAGGAAGGGCCCACTCTTAGGGAAAAAGAGGCACGTGGATTCCTAAATCTCAAGCCCCGGTTCTACCACCTTCTAACCAGATGACCTAAGGCTAGCTACTTTAAATTCCTTCAGCATCATCTCTAAAATGGAGATACAAAATCTCATGATCTCCCAGGACTCTTGTAAGGAACAGGTATGAAAAGAACTTTGTTTCTTGGGAGGATCATGTGTGAAAAAACCCTGCAGCTTTAAAATGATTTCTAAAAATCCATCGTTCCCACCTCTCCATTGCATGAAGGCAGAAAAGGCCAACTAGTTGAAAGAGGCAAGAGAGGAGAGGCTTCTGTGGCACACAGAGCCCTTCCTCTTTTTGCCAAGCAATGTCGGATCTCTGCTTGGACTCTACAATCCCTGGATACCGGAAGCGGCTGCCTGACGACCGGGGGCACTGATGCCTTCCACATCTCTCTGAAAGGGAGAGCTTCTCCTTCAAAAACCTGTTTCAGAATTCTGGCCGGGAGAGCATGTCCAGACAAAGAGGGTCCCCTCAGAAGGCTGGCAGCCTCATCCTGTGACTCTCAAAGAGTTCCAGAAACCACAACCCTCGACAGGCGAGATAAGTTTGGTCAGAGACCGATGGCCAGTGAGCAGTCAGGCCTCTCCAGCCCTGCCCCTCAGAGGCACAGGCTGACCAGATTAGAGAAACTAGACTGGCCACAGAAGTCTCCAATAACCTGCCAAAGAAGACCACACTAGTGGTCCAACTGTTGACCCCAATAAGGTAGGCTTTTTTGTTGTCCAATAAAAAACGAAATGAGTGCATCCCAGGTCTAGCTCAAAAGTTTGTAGGAGTGAGACACTGGTGACTGACTGTCCAGAAGAAGTCAGAAAAGGTCTCAAGGCAAAAAAAAAAAAA